TATATATAAAACAATAGTCTCAGAGCTAAGATAAGAATTCACATTTACACAGATACAAAAAGTTTATTAGTTATAAAACTGCATAAATATATGCTCACCTGCTGTGTCGAACAATCCCAGAGTGTAAGGATCGCCTCCAATCATAACAGTAACGGCATAATTGTCAAATACTGTTGGTACATATTCGGATGGGAATTTATTGGTAGTGTAAGAGATGAGCAGGCAGGTTTTACCCACCGCTCCATCTCCTACAACTACACACTTGATCGTTTGCATATCCAGCGCGGCGATTTATCTGAAAAAAAAAAACAACATAATCCTATATAAGTACAAAGAATACACCAAAGTACCCACACCCTGACATAAAGCTGCTACGTATTGCAAGGTATAGGTAAGACGTCTTTTTGTTTTGCCTGTACTTCGACTCCACCCCCGCAATAATATGTGCTAAGGATTTCTCGGCAAACTCAATGCATCGTCAACTGATATTATTTTTAAAATTATAACAACGTCCTTAGAAGTAGTGGAACATGATTTTAAAAATTTTAAATATTGTTATAATGCGCTTAAACACTGCGTATGTCACCAAGAGCCCTAATGCACAGGAGTAACCTCAAAACTTGTGGAGCCGATGACATTCCGAAATTTTGGTATAACAGGCACTAACATTAAACTAGTTATTACGTAAATTATACACGGAAGAACTATTTGAAAATTAAATGTGTGTGCCATTAAAATAGTACCTGTGCCGACTGCAAGTATCATATAATAATTTCCAACTTCTCCACACCTACTACAGCAGAATCTCGTATAGCAATAAAGTGTATACTTACTGTCTACGCACACTGTCAACTGTCAAGAATATCTATATATAGCCCGACAAAAAATTTTAATAACTCTCATCCGGCAGCTGTTCCTAGAGGTTCCTACACTTTCTACTGCAGGTACTGCAGCTAAGTTACAAATTTTAAATAATAACATATGTTTGAATTTCAATTAAAATCTTCTCAATCCAAGAGATGTAAAATATTAAAAATTTAATGTGACAAAATATACTTTAAGATCAACCAGTTTTTCATTATTATATATTCGTTTATTATTACAATTTTAATTGTACATTATGAAGGAACAATAACAAATCACTTATTTACAATTTACGATTGATATCTGTAACTCATAAAATTTGAATACACTCTTATAAACATATATCTTTCCTTTATTTTAATAAAGAGTATAAGTATCAACATATTGACTTTTATTTAAAAGTGCAAACTTTATTACAGTTCATGGACGTGTTGAAAGTTTTGAAGTTTTTCGCTTGTTTCGTGAATTTTTACTTACAGTTTAGTACACTTCGATAAGCGTTTGCAACAAATTTGCATATATTTTTATAAAATACAAATCGTAAGAAAATATTTATTTATTTATCTAAAACTATGTTATCCCCTTCAAAATAATCCCCCTCAGATACAATGCACTTGCGCCAACGCATTTAACAGTTGTCAAAACACTTCTGAAATGCTATTTTGGGTATTGCTTTGAGCTTCTCCAGCGATAAAGCTTTAATCTCCTCAATCGTGGCAAATCTTCATCCTTTCATGGGCTTTTTCAATTTTGGGAAGAGGAAAAAGTCACTGGGGGCCAAGTCTGGTGAATATGGTGGCTGAGGCATGATGGAAGTACTGTTTTTGGCCAAAAAAACTACTAACTAATAACGACTTGTGCGCAGGTGCATTATCATGGTGTTCGCGGATACACGTCAAATACCCAAAACATCCGTCAAAATTGATTGGCATGAGCCAAACGATATGTCAAGATCATCAGCTGTTTCTCTAATCGTGATTCAACGATCTTTTAGCACCATTTCTTTCACTTTCTAAACATTTTCGTCGGTGTTTCACGTGCTGGGTCACCCAGAGCGAGGTTCATTTTAAAGATTTTCTCGGCCCTCTTGGAATAACTTATACCACTTAGAAACATTTTTTTGGCTCATAGTTAACTCGCCATAGTCCACTGTCAACATTTCAAGAGTTTTTGAGCACTTAATACCATTTTTTACACAAAAATTAATACGAACTCTTTGCTCCATTATTTTCAACAAAAAGTAATCGCCGAGAACGCAAACACGAGTCTAACCTTTAAGTCTCTTACATAAAAACAACACATGCTAAATAGTCAAAACTATTCACATATGATCATGACTAGTGTGCCAACATAATAAAAAAAAAAATTTTAACTTAGAGTGTAAAGAGCGCGCGAAATTCAAAAAGTCACCTTACTTTTTGATCACACCTCGTATTGAATAATGAGAGTAATTTGCAAATAAATTATGCTAATTAATGTCAAATACGAATAAGACTTAAATGCGTCGCCTAAATTAATTATTAAATTTTATTTTCATACTTATTTTTCTAACCCTGGACTTTATAGGTTAATTGGGATGCCAATATTGGCCTTACATAATAACTCATTACACTGCGCTATCTACCTCTATGTATTTGCCCTGTTTTGACCTACGTATGTAACTGGGTAACCAATGTAGGCCCAATATGAAGCCCTCTTAAGCTTTCCGATCGGGAAAGTAACGGGTTCGATATCGTTTGAAGACATTAAAACATAAGATAAAGGAATAACTTATGAAACTTTTAAAGATACTGCAGTTGCAATAGGTTTAATACACAGTGATTAAAAAATCGATGATATTTTTAAAGAAGCAATGGCTGTTATGTTTCTATATCAATTAAGACAATTTTTTGATTGGTTTTTAATTTCAGAAAACGTTTAAAGTGATAAAATATAAAATAAATACAAAGAATTTTTTACGAAGAGTTTGCCTAATAATATAGATAATTGAGCTCTTTAACATATTAACCAAATTTCAGAATCAGCAAATAAATCATGTAAATGCTTTAATGTACCTAGACCAAAAAAAATGAAGAGTAAGAAAGAAGATAAAGATGATGAAGTACGTTTCAGTAAAAAAATGTTTAACCCGATGTATAAAAGTTTGAATAATGACCAAAAAAATATTTTTAGTTTCATTTTATTTGCGAACAAAAAAACAATATTTTCTTTATAGATGGTCCTGGAGGGTCAGGAAAAATTATTTATATAANTCAAATAAATACATTAATAAACTCTACTCGACATATTTAATCGGCATGTAATAAAATAATTATATTACCTATGATGTAACAATTTTTCTAACTACTTATTCATCTAAAGATAAAAATCTTCTTAAACGCGGAATCCAATTTAAAATACTTTTTTGCTCTTTTACAGTGGAGCACTCTGACGTAAAATTATTTATTGATCGTTCGGCACGACTAATTGAACGTAGTAGGACGAATTGTTGGCTCATTTCATTGTTGTTCATGAGTATTATTAGTTTATGTATCAAAATAGTGATTCGATAATCAGTCAGAAAAAATCTCTTTGAAATCACAATGGTAATTTACCCTCACATCATATAACATTTCATTTCATGTTATGAGTATAAAAATCGTGAGGAATCAAAAATTTATTCCATTATTCAATTTTTATAATGCGAGCAAGTGTAGTGCAAAATAAATATTAATCCTAATTCACATTAAAGGCAATGAACACTTATCTTGCATCTGACTTTGAAAATGGTTGTAGAGAGCCTGGTTGTACCCATGAAAATCCAGTAACTTTATTTTCACTGTCATCCTTGATTCAAAAAAGTTTGGTATTTTTATTGAAACTACTACTTTATAAAATCTTACAAAATACTCACCTTTGGTTTGTAGATTTCTTGTTTAACAGAATCGTGCAATTCACTATCATATGGACTAAATGTTATGTAGTGTATGTCATCAGTTGTAGGAGGGTCATAGACCTTACTCAAACTGTCTTTTACACTCTTTTTTACTTCTTCTTTAAACCTTTCAAAGTTTGTTCCTAGTCTAAAAATTTTAGAGTTGTGTAAAAGATTGAAAAGAAAAAACGAAAAATCATATAGGAAAATAATACCTACAATAGTGAAGCCTCTTCATTTACTGGAGTCATTTTGGTATCAAGTTTTGTAAAAATTTTCGTTACATATTGCACTAGCTGCCAGATTCTGTTGTCTCTTTTCCATTCTGGAAAGCCCCAAGACATATTAAGTTCTCCTGTTTCATAATTTATCATTGGATGGAAGACGTTAGTTTGGAAATTGACCATCTAAAAGAAATTATTTTAAAACAAAATTTACTTGACATACAATGTGAAATTTCTTGCACGTGTTGTGTGAACTTACTGGACATTTTCCATCAGGAAAACTTGGAGGCAACGTTATTGTAAATCTAAAGACACCACCTTGATAAACCCCTTCACGAATAAACTGAACCCCAAACCAAACTGGAAAATTATTCATTCCTTCAATGTAGTGAAGAGTAATTGTAAAACCATAACAAATGAGAAAATATTTACCAAAAGAATTCTGTGCAGATGGTATAACATAAATTCCTCTTAAATCTCTGTTACGCATTTCATTGCTTGAAATAAAAGAACTCGTGATAAAACAACACCCAAGTGACGAAGCTGGAGGAAAAAAAGAAATAGTAAACTTACTACTCAGCAAGAATATGATACTCCTGAATATATGCAACATGCTCCTTGCTACTTTGGGACGTGTTTGGTCGATCTATCATCCTGACAGCAGTACTGAGCTGTGAATCTCCATTAGTATTGACTGACAACAATTTTCTGAACGATCCTTGCCTTTTAAAATCATCTTCAGACTCATTTTCGCTCTGTGAATGAATGTTTGATTGAACATATTGCTACAGCCATTAGAACAAAATATATCTAGAGGAAGTACATGTCACTACCTTAACTCCCGAAATAGAAGCGTTCGTAGACATAATCAATGAAATCTCACATTAAACACTCGACACATTCCGCACAGAATTGACAAATAAATAATTTTTTTCAAAAAAATTATCTATTATTTCTCTAAAGAACGACCACTAATGTTTGTTTTTGTTGTTGTTATTGTTATTACGTACAAGAGGTTATGTGTTGGTAAAAAACTTATACTAAAAAAGTGGCTCAGTAGAATCTGCGCCATCTAGCGGATTACCACACAATAGTAGTAGTAGACAGCAGAGTAGCAATCCTGCTTTACTGACGACCGGCAGGAGAGATACATGCATTGAAAAATCGATGAGGCCGCGGCCACATGGCACCTATATATATAGACGTCCGACCGCGCGTCCGACAGACCGACTGCGTCCTCATGCGTTTGACATAATTGACATCCGTGAAAATCCGTGCCTATATAGGCACTATAGTTCTTAGCTGCCAACTTCAAATGAACTTCAAAATAAATATATATATTTATATTTTTGGAGGTGGATTTTCGGATAAAAGATTATTGTGAGCGTGTCGCAAACTTTTCTATCTTAGGTCTAGTATATTAGTTGCGGCTGGTTTATAATTGATTATATGGCTCTATACCGTAATAGTAATAATTATTCGGATCAGCGCCATCTAGCGGTCTCCATTTTTTCGCTAAAAGTGGCTCCTAAAATTCTGAAGCAGAGCAATCAAGCTTAGAGCCATTTAATCAATTATAAACCAGCCGCAACTCATAATAAAGCTGTAAAATAAAAAAATAACGATACACGTGTTTTAGGCGGCAAGGTAACAATCTATTTTTACAAAAAAATTGACCTCCTATGTATTTATACCTTTGAAGATAAATTTTCGAGCATAAGATAGATTGTTATCTTGCCGCCAAAAACACATGTATCGTTATTTTTTTGTTTTATAGCTTCATCATAAGTTGCGGCTGGTTTATAATTGACTAAATGGCTCTAATCCTGATTGCTCTGATTGAGAATTTTAGGAGCCACTTTTGGCCAAAAAATTAAGACCGCTAGATGGCGCTGATCCAAATATTGATTACTAAATGAGTACAGTTCACAGTGGACAGTCGAGTCGAGTAAACGGCATATCCCATCAAAATGTACCTTAATGTACATGTAAATACCTGTGCCGTTTCCTGAGATTACCGAGAGCGAGCCACCCGGGGCGTTGTTCGCGAAGACGACCCCCGATCATTGTGTCAGTCAAATGATGAGCTGACGCTGCAGTGGCGATCGATGTGCCACAAAGTGCACATATTATTGGAGTGAAGAAAATAATAAGTACTGAGGTACTTAAATACTTGTGTGCATTGTGTTGATTTTAGGGATAGTAGTGTGATTATTTGGCAAATATTGTGGTGGTGCAATGGCAGCTGAAATCAAACCCGCGCCCGGCGTTAACCAGGACAAATTTAGCAGCAACAGAAAACCGATCCTACTGTCAAAGCTCGAGGGCTGCGATGACGACGTCAACGCGGCAGTCATTATACCTGGAGTAGACGGCGTTATCAGTGTCTGCGATGACAGGTAATTTGTTTATTGATAGTGGGTGGGGTTGGCAGCATGTATTCCATTTATTGTATTCGTCCTTGTAGTTGTCTCGTTGAGGAAGTTTATAGATTAAGATTATTATCCACAACTTTGTATGGAATCTTTAGTTCTGTTGTTAATTTGCTCAAGTTGTTAGTAAGCCTATTAATTCTGATCGGACTTGCAAAGGTCATTGTGGTATCAGAGAGTCGCAATGATGATGGAATGAACTGCGCTCTGCTTGGATACAGTAGGATCATCTTAATATGTTATCTGTCGTCTATGACTGATTCATTTTCTTTCTTCCTTTATTCATGAATTGATGTATTGTTTTACTATGGTTTATTTAGTTTTCGTCACTTTGAATACAGTGCAACTCTTCAGTACCTCAGAATGAATTTATTTCTAATACTTGGCTATTTTCTTAGTAACTGTGATATATCTTGATGCTTTTTGTTAATCATTTCACTATCACTCCTGTAATTACCCAATCAATGACACATGTTTATGTTACCTTGTGTTCTAATTCTATTTTAATGACTGGTGAAATTATAATATATTTTATGTATTTCAGAACTGTTAGAGTTTGGCTGAAACGGGATTCGGGTCAATACTGGCCAAGCGTATGCCAGTACATGGTTGCAGGTGCAACCTCTATGGATTTTTGTCCACAAACTAGACAGTTGTTTGTTGGTCTTGAAAATGGTTCTATTAATGTACGCTTAAATCAATGTGTTTAAAACGTTTTATTTTAAATCTCATTTCTTATGCTAAGTAATAAATGGACATTGTAGGAGTTTATAATGGAAAGTGACTACAATAGAATGACATCCGTCAGAGAGTATTTAGCTCATCAAGGAAGGGTTACAGGTGTCATATTTGCCTCAAACTCTGAATGGGTATTGAGTATTGGGAGGGACAAAATATTTCAATACCGGAGTACCAAGAATGGAAAATTAATTGGAAATTTCCAAACTGATGTCTGGTACACAGCATTGCAGTATCCTTTTAATTTTTATTATAACAACATTGGTTTAAAGCTTTAAATTATTAACTTTTTTTTTAATGTGAAGTTAGTAAAAATGTACAGTATTATTGTACCCTTTGCAGTTTATTATGAAAACTAATAATTTCCTAAATAAGTACTAAGATTTGATGCACAGGCACAATATGCTTTTGTTGGAGACTACTCGGGCCAAATACAGATGTTAAAACTTGAAAATAATGGTTGCAATTGTATAACGACGTTCAAAACTCACACTGGAAGTATTAGATCTTTAGAATGGGATAGTGAAAAGCAACTATTATTTTCGGGTAGTTTTGATCAAAGTATCATTGTATGGGATATAGGTGGTCGCCAAGGAACTGCTTATGAGTTACAAGGGCATCAGTAAGTATTATTAGTAATCTTAAAGATGAATGAAATTTTACATATTTCATGTGATACATTAATTACCCTTGAACATAAAAATGCTTCATTTTTCAGCAATAAAGTTACAGCCTTGTGTTATGCAAGTGCTCAAAATATTTTATTCTCTGGTGGAGAAGATGGTGTGATAGTTTGCTGGGATATGGCAGCTAATAGAAATGAAACAGCTAACTGGATTGAATCAAACACATGTCAAGTAAGAAAATTTTATTTTTGATTCTTCACTCTCATTTGAATTCAATACGGGAACAAAACTAACTTTCAGGCGTGTGGACGACCATTTTTCTGGAACATTAAGGCTATGATGGATCAGCGTCAAATAGGTCTAAGACAGCATCACTGTAGACATTGCGGTCAAGCATTATGCGCTAGATGCACGTCTCAGCGCATTCCGATTCCATCAATGGGCTTTGAGTTTGAAGTTCGAGTTTGCGATCCTTGTCACATTCAATTAAAAGCTGCCAAGTTAGTATTATAATCGAATGTAACACTTATTATTATACTGAATATAACACTACTTACCAGTGAAAAATTCCAAAACTCATGTCTTATTCGTATTTTAGCCAAACATCTTTAGCATCATTTCACGATGCTAAACACAGCATTGTTTATATGAATTTAGACGTTCCACGACGGAGGCTATTAACTGTAGGACAAGATCGTATGATTAAAATGTGGGACGTGACGGCTCTGCTTCAATAAATTCATCCTCTGACTTGGCCTTAGTGCGACAGAATTAAATGATACTCTCATAGCCTCTCCTCTTGACGAATCAGTGCATTTTTTGTATGAGTCATGGTGACTATGAACAAAATTAAAATACATCAACTATGCAATATAATGTATTTTATTAAATTTTATATCGATTTTTTTTTTAATGAATTCAATTATAAATGAAGATAAATTAAAAAGTTATGTAGTTAAAAGAACAATTTAAACTTTAAGCGTCATTATTTAAGGTGAATAAAATAAAGTGCTATTTTGCGTGAAATATTTTTGTTAAAAATTGCGATATTCCAATCTTGAAATTTACAAAACAAGCAACCACCATCGCTGGGATCAAAATCAAAATTATTTCACTTGCTTTCTGATCTGTAAATTAAAAAATAATTAAGGAAGCATTAACACAACTAGTATAACTACAACGCACTTTATAATTATTCCCTAGTCGATCTAATTGTTATTAATATAATTGTTTTGTATCGACCATAATGCTATTATGTATAAGCACTAATTTTTATCATATTATACCGCAAAAAGGAACTGTCCCTCAGCTCCGCGGTAAGATAACTCCGTCTTTCGGCGTAGGATTGGTGAAAAATTTTATTCAACCTAGGGGAGGAAACAAAAAAGTCTCGGATCATAGGCAATTGACACCCTAGGCTAAGCTGAGATTTCTTTTTTTTTCCTCCATAAGTGCGTAATTGTTTACTATTAAGGTACAAGCTATATGCGTTGTTCTAAATCATTGTTGATTCTATAAAAAATCAAAATATTTTATAAATTTTCAGTAGCCACAAAAATGATCTTCCTAACAAATTACGTATAAATTATGATTGCTGATTGTTATATATATGATGTTTTAAAGTTACGAAAATAACACGTATATGTGAGGCATTTGTAAAGTGTATATGTTGTACCGGAATATAGATTTCAATGTATATCTAAGTATGTATATGTTATAATGCTTCACAATGTCACGGTAAATTAACGTGATTGAAAAAACGAAAAGGCGATGGCTGTTAACTGTTACGCGATAGTGTTATTTAGTTTTCTATATAAACAAAAAAAAATATATGAATTATATATGCGTTATCGATTCATATTTTTGAATTTGATCATAAGTCCGTTTGTTAAATCATTGTATTTACACGTGTACTATGATTGCTTACGTATTACAAATTCTGTCCTGCATAAAACACGATACACAATAATACAGTTACTAATATCACGATATCTCACGTGTAAATAATAAGTGCAATCTAAAATTATAGATTATGTATTTAAAAGAATTGGCAATGATATACATAAAAAAAAAGATGACTATATTTTTTAATATGTTTCAATGATTTTTATCGTTGGGTTCATAATTGAAAAATCAGAGGATTCAATATCTAACTTCTTAACACTCAATATCCTATTTGTTGTTAATACTAATATAATACTAAAAACTATGAGACAGAGAATCATCATTTGGATTAAATTAGTTACTTCGAAAATTAAATGTTTACACGTAAGAAAAGTAAAAGTATAAAATAAATCATAGACAACTCAACGCTTGATTTTATGTAGAAAACCTCTGCCGATCTTTCAGCGTAAAGCAAGTGTACAACCTTTTAAGCTGACATTTGTTATTGACTACATAAAATGCTTACTAGCTAATTGTTCGACATATAAAAATGGTTGCCTTCTGTAAAACCACTCGCAAAGGACGAAAAAAATATACATACTAGTGATGCATGTATACTTTGAAGTGCAAAGCGTACGTTTGCTGAAAACTATACGGGTATAAATATATTTTGAAAATAGATGTGATTACGTGGAGGTGATAAAAAATATGCAAGTAAATGTGAGATTACTTAATAGACACACCTATTAAAAAGAAAAAGAAAAAAAACACAGTTAATCAATGGATGCATACAGCGTAATTGTATCACTTGTGACTCTAAAAGGCTTGTAAACACTGAAAAATACATATTGCCATATGAAATAACGGGTCACGAGGGAGAAAAAAAAAGTTTTCTATTTGATCGCGAAAAATCGTGGTTTCACGCAGCGACTCACTAGACTCAACGTAATTTATACAGAGTATATGTGTTGTACCCTACTCTATATCGGAAAAAAACTGTAAGTCTGTAAAGAGTTTATAAATAAACGTTCACGGAAACGATAACAATCGCTTTGTCATTTCGGTAACGATAGAGATTTTTTTTTTTTTTAATTTAGCACTCGGTGTATCAAAGTATACACTCATCCAATTTTTCAATCGCTATTACTGCATACTATAATCATCTGTAAAACAAAAGTCGATCTGTATTTACTCATTTTTTTGTTATTTTTCTCGTATTTTACAGAGTAAATTCAATGAGAAGCTTCGAGTGACCAGCAAATGAGTAGAGAATATGATGTCTGTTGTACAAAAACGTCGATAAGCGCGATCTCCCTGCCTATCCTGCAAAACTCGGCAACAGGTGCAAGGTGGATTCAGGTGTACACGCAATGGACAGCTATACGTAGTACGTATATGTATTAACCCGTGAACGTTGCCGATCGAATTCAAATAACCACGGTGAATGATTTGGAAAATCCTCTGATGGCATTCGCACGCACGAGGTAAGGTATAAATAATTCTGCAATGACGTGATTGCCGATTTTTCAGACACCCAGCAGCAACAACTCTGCAGTGACCGGTAACTCCAAATAGCCGATCGTTTCGTAAGCACAAGCAACATTCAAGTATACCTGTACCAAAGATCGTGATCGGTATGAGGATTTGACACCTGTCAACCCGAGAGAGGAGGGTGCAGGGTATACCTTGTGGAAAAACGCACCAACCGGCCAAAGGAAAGGGCCTCTACTATCCCGTATACGACGCGCAACCCGTCTGTCTGTCTGTCTCCCCCGCCAAATGTATATGTAGAACCTGGCGAGAGGGAGAGGAGAGAGAGGAAGAAAAAGAGCAGCCAAGCGAGGTGTGCTCGGCACGTCCGCGATCGGTCGGTCGGCCAGTACCTGTGCCTGCTGCCGAGCGAGCATCGTCAACTCCTCCGGCTGCTCGCTCGTACGTTGTTATTACATGTATACGCGCGGAAGATCCTCGAGAAGGATTTTCGGAGCAATGGTCATTCGTTAGTTTCGAGTTTCGTGCTGATTTATGCGAACGAAAGCTGTGCTTTTCCATTGAAATTGCGCTCGATCGATTGAAAATTCGCGGAAATCAGATGATGATAAAAAGAAACCGCTATGTACACGCGAATGCAATGTAGAGCAACTGTCGGCGATACCACATTGCATGTACGTATGTAGTCAAAGGTGTGCAGTGCCGCATGTATATATGTATATGTGCATAAGGAGAGCGCGCGTGAGTAGTGTGTGCACGTACTTGTACATCGGACGGACCCCGTTCTCCTAAATGAAGTTCACGGACGTGTGAGCTCGAGGAAGAGATAGATAGAGAGAGAAAGAGAAGCAAAAAGGAGGAACTGGCTGCGACGCTATACCGCAACAGCCGGCGGGGGCCCGTGCGCGCTGCAGCTTGTGCTTTTCCTCCTTTTATCTGTACCTCCGCTCCACCCCCACGTTCCATTCTCTTTCTCGCTCTCCCCCGGAGACCGGGTTTCAAGTCCAGGAGCGCGACCTTACCCGTCGACTCGCTGCCCCGAGGTAAGCTCTATGTGGATCGCTCTCTCTCTTTTTTTATCATATATACATGGGGGGGGGCTCGTATGTCGTGCTTTTTTTTTTTCTTTTTTTCCCTCTCTTTTTCTGATTTTTGGTTGCGGCCGGCAGAGCGCCCCGACCGGTTTCTTCATTTTCGTCCCTCCAATCTTTTTGTCGAGATTATTGTCTCTCTTCTTGTCCTTTTCTTCGGATGGCTTTCTCTGGGAGCTGTTTTCGATGCCCGATCGATGTTAATTTGAATCGTTTCTTTTTTTCCCCCTCCAATCTCTTGCATACAATGGGCCATACAATTATATTTGTATACATGTGCCAATGACGAAATTAATAGACACAGTGTCCATATTTATTCAACAAGAAATCGAAAAGCGTTTTTTGCTTTAAAAAAGAAAAAAAGAGAAAAACAGAATAGCGAAAGGAAGGGAGAAAAAAAAAATGATACGTGGCTGTGTACAACTGTATGTATACCCATACGTTGTATGTTATACGCGCAGCGATGTTGATAAAAACCCGCGCGATCGCGAGTATATACACATAATATAGGCGAGAGCTCCCTTCGAAAGGAACGAGCGTATAGGGGGGGTTAACGACATCGCTCCACATAATTATCGGACTTCCGTTTATATGCTCCTGCATGCCTACTGTGCCCCGTGTACGCGCGTGCAGGTACCTTTCTCTCTCGCTCCGCGTCTCGAAAAAAAAAAAGGGACGAGTGCGTTGTATATTTTCACCTAATGATCACGCGTGTGTCAAATTATGCGCGCGAAGCGAAAAATCTCACGGAAATTAAAAAAAAAAAAAAAAAAAAAAAACGTCCGGCGCACGCGACGTTTTTAAAAACATCGGCTTTTAAGTATGACAAAGTACACGAGAGCCTCGCAGTGTCATATATATAAATGTACTCAATGAAGAGAAGGGTGTGATATTTTCTTTATCGATTTACAGTACTTTTTTTCTTTTAAATCTCAAGTACGAAAAACATGAATGGCAATCGATGAAAAGCCACAGCGCGCGGATATGGTTTATTTTTGCCTCCCCTCGAGCGATGGAATATGGTTCGCTTCTTCCGAAAAGCTGTGCCGGACGACCGTGTGTGCGAGCAAGCGTGCATCCACGGCTCGCCCCGTGTTGTACACACATTATAATGTATACCACATACCTATACATATACGTGCGTGCCTTTATTTTGCAACGTCGACCAGCGGCTCTCTCGAGCGTGCACCATTTACAGAACGAAGGATACGTGTATCCTATATGTATCTACTTACGCATTAGAATAGAATTTTAGATCAGCCGGTGGTTTACGGTGCGCAGCGGTGAAACCGGCGAGGATGAAGAGTCCGTCTTTTTCTTCTTCCTATGTCGTACATTACGAGCTTTCATCCTCTAGGCTCCTTTCAACTTGCATAAAGTCTACATATACAACATATACGTGTGCAACATTCTTCCTTCCTCCCGATATGGGCAAGGATTCTATAGAGCTGCCCGTGCAACTTGTGGACCCTTTTCTGTGATCTTTTGTCGAAGCTTGTGCAGGCTCATGTGGCCAGAGCTTACTTTCTTACGTATATACATTTTACTGTCAATTCGAGTCACATGTGACGTTTCTTTTTTTATTCAATCCATATACAAAAGCGCTGTTCGAGACTGCCCGTGTCGAGTGAAAATAATCGTCCATGGCATTGAGATTATACTAATCGACTGCGGATCGGTATACATTTACACCATATATTGCCCCCTTGGGGCTCAATCGCCGCATTTATACCTACTTACCTATACGTACAGGTACTCGAAAATCTGTTGGTATCGCGTCAAACTGCGCTACGATATTATACCCATCACGTATTTTCTCCGAATCTATATATAAAGTAGGTACACCGTCTTTTCACGCGTGCACAATCGCGTAAATAAGTATCTACACGCATCGGCCGAAATGTAAAAAAATTATACCTATGCAGATACGCATACGAGTGTGGCCTTTGAAAGAGACCGACTGCAATTGAACTCGATTTTTTGCCGGTCCCGTTTCGCCCGCACGTTTTTCCTGGACACAAACATGTAAATACGTATATGCACGCATGTAAGAGAACCTGCAACTCAATTGAGAGACGCGATTTTTCGATTATCACACTTCGGGCACGCTTTCTCTGAACCTTGTTTGCTAAAACGCCCTCACTTATCGGTAAAAAATCGGTTCATCATCGCGTGTCACGCTATTTTCAACAAGATGTATCCATACCTAACAATAAAGAAGTACAACGCACTTGGCGCAAATCGGTATGTATACTTATACAGCGTCACCATCGCCGTTCCAATCTAAACGAGCTTACATGGTATTATACAGCCACAACGCGTTACAGCTATTATGTTATAAGTATATTGCCATACCGAGCAATTGGCAGCGAAAGCAGCAATCCGCCGCACATTTATATACATATATATATACAGTATGTACAGACAACAGATGTATATATAACTATGTTTCATTCCTACCTGAGATAGCAGCATCCGCCAGCATGAGGGGATGTCTTTCTCTTTCACCATTGGTATTATAACAAACATACATGTATATATGTAGGTACTTATAGGTATATTGTGCATGTACAGAATAGGTAAAAGCGCTTCAGTTGTAAGGGTTCTCCCCGGCATCCGTGGAATCCGTCATAAACGTACAGTTCTCGAGCGCATATGCATGGCACATAATATATTATTATTCAATACTTACCTGTATAATATATTGCACACGTATCTGTGCATATACAGAAAAACTCCCGTGCTTTGTTGTACACGCATACATATGCATACCTATAAATATAAACATATATGCTGCATCACGTATATAATATATATGAGAGGAGCGAAGCATATAAGAGAGTTTTCGTTCGTTTGCTCGTTCGTTGGTTCGTCGATGGCGTGCTCGCACGCACGGAATCCCGTCAAGCGAGGTAACCGGGTCTCCCCCTATATATGTATATGTAGTATCTCTCTCTTTCCTTTTATCCATACGTGTCTGGAGTATGTGCAACTGTACCTATATATGGGTAGTCCATATAGCGTATAGGGTATAGGGTATAGTGCCCATCTGTAGTTATTCATGTATTACCTTTATATTCTCGAGGACGTGCGAACAAAACCATACCGCAACCCTCCTCCTGATCTACTTATACCCGTACATTATAATGGTCATACACGTCCACGTGTCGTTGACACTTGCTCTCGTTTTCATATGTAAGACGGTTATTGTGATGATCGGTATATATTGAGTTACGTCGGTACATATTACGTTGATCAGTGTATCGATCGGTGATACGAGATAGCATCAGCTGCATTGAATTCGATTATCTGGTATGTGCAAGGTAATGCGCGAGGGTGGTGATGAGGTGTTAACGGCGACGATCTCATGACAGAGTATCGGTATACAGAGTTTATTGGCTCCGTCATGATGATGATGATGATAGTGGGCGATAAAGTTAAGCGCGTCGTCCATGTGTTGCAATGGGGTACCAATTTTTAGATTTAGATAGACATGTTTACAGTACCCGTGGTTTTTTCCAGCGTACATGTACCAAAGTACCGAAAGATCGGCAACGTGTTTTTCGCACCATTGCGGACGTACACGTTCGCAGAATATTTGTCAAGTAGGTGTGTATATAGTATATTCAGTCAGATTTTATTGGGGTTCTGCAAATTGTCATCAGCGCTGCCTGTGTATACTTACACCGAGTAATTATGTACTTACACCGTATATATAATAATTGTATACATGTTTAACCAGCTGAGGCGACATTGACATAACGCCAAAAACTCGTCGACTGCTGTAGCCTTTTCTTCTCTCGGTCTACACACTACTGCATGCGTGCCACTTTTTTTCACCACTAGATACCTGTAACAATATTTCGAGCTGTACAAAATGTATACACGTATCTCTTTGCACATCGACGAAATATTACACCGAAAAAAAAAGAAAAAAAAAAAAAATCTATACGTAGACTAGGTAAAAGCAATATTTGTTGATACAAGCAATTGATACGGGAAAGAATTTCCAGCGCGACCCACATACTATATACACACGTACCAAGATCAGCCCCGAGAATTGACGATTCCCTATGGCTCTCTTAACGCGGTTGCAGGTAATAGGTGTATATATTTTACACGTTTGTCTCTCGAATCTCGCATGGAATAGTTGTATTGTATGCCGGATACCGTACTAAACGTGTAAATGTACATGAAGGACCGTGCATATAATTAAGGTGTAATATGCACTTGGGAGTGAGAGAGAAACATGAAAAAAGTATGATAGTAGAAAACATAGCAGCAGTGTAAGCCACTGGGTGGTGGGTCGTCCGCGTATCGGGCCGGTGCTCGAGCAATTAACCGGTATCCATACTTATCTCTTTATACACATATTCTATCACGTGTATAATATAAACATATAACATATAATATATGTGGCGACTCTGTCGTGCGTGCGTGGATGTTGTATCTTATAAGTATACTTATACAAAAATATGCGTGGAACGCGACTGCAACAACAGGTGCGCGGACGAAATTCCTACGGGTACTTTTGTACGTGCAGTATATATATATGTGTGCGTATATAGGTGGTGATCTCCGTCTCGTCTCACATCTGCCGAAGTCTTTGGCTTGACACTATATATAGTATATCAAACGTGCTAAGGGATTTCTTTTTTTTTTTTTTTTAACGATTAACGCGTGTACATGCATTATTTCAAAGTGACAAAATTATTACTTTTTTTCCAACTCCTTAAATCGATAAGTTTGAAAATAAAACGTGCTCCTGGCATTCAAATGATTCAAATCGTACGGAGACCTCCAATAGAGAATTGCAATAATTTATTATTATTATTATTATTTTTTTTTTTCTAACACGTGCCATTATTTTTATATTGAAAATTAACGAAACAAATACATGTGAAGACGAGCTAATGTTATATTTTTTTTTTTCGTTGTTAAGGTATTACACGGTGTATTAGTGTTACAAAAAAATGCAGTATAGTTTTCTAGTTCCAAAATACTAATTGTATGCCTATTGGTGAAGAAAGTTTTTTTTTTTTTTTTTTGAAAATCAAGGATGGACGAAACCAGTGGAGTAGAAATCAACAAGTTGAAAAAAAGAAAAAGTTTAATTTGGAAGGTAAAATAACGGACAGCCCGATAAATACGTTCTATGGGTTCTTCGATAAATTATGCAGACATCCGTAATAACGCGCGTTTTAGAGAATCTCGGGAATTTAAAACGACCGAGGAAACAAATAAAATAATACCACGAGGAGGCGCGCATCAAACAGTGACGTAAAAATAACGGCACTCCTTGACTCTGTGTACCACATCGTCATCTTCTTCATCGAAATACTCACCGGCCGACCATATAATATACAGTACACGAGGCACGCGCTTTCGAACGTGTAATTTTTTTTTTTTTTTTTCCCCGTGACATTTTCACAGTAACCCCACCTATTTGCCAAATTTCCGAGAAAAAAAGGCACCCCCACGATTCCCTCTTCTCAGCCGTTCGATTATTCCATTACGAAGCGCAACAAATTGCGCTGCACCAATCCGTCCATCTTCAAGCGATCGGTATGGTGGCTGGGTAGCGATCACATTACGGACAGCAGGTTTTCCCACGGCAACGGAGCCCATCCAAGAAAATCCAAAGAAGCAACAGCTCTCGGTTTAACGCCGGTTTTTCTATCCTCTCCGACGCTGCTGCTACAGCTCAAGTGCACGCTGCGGGGTATACACTGCACAGCCGTTTGCCGATTTATCGTCCAGATGTGTATATATATATATATATATACAGCCAACCAGCTGATGTAACAGATCCACTTTATAAATATGTAGTTTTCAAAGTCAATGACTCGTGGAGCGATTTTTAATTCTATATGCGAGTACTTAACTTTGCCAGCGGTATAACGTGTATCTTTCTTGTATACATTTATGTGTCGTGTTATTTTAGATGTACAGGTGTGTATGAATACGCAAGTGGCACTGTATAGGTGTACTATTGATACTCTTATTGTATAGCACATGCCAGAGAAGCACGTATGCCCCATACTTCAATTTGTAAACAGCTCCTTAAAAAAAAAAAAAAAAAAAAAAAAAAAACTACGCTCTTATACGTGCGACATGACTGATGGATTTATCATGCACAGGATTAAGTATATGGCGTGATCACAACGTACATGTATACAACATTAAAATTCAAAACGAATGTTCGTCGTTCGAAGCATGATTTCAAATTTAGAATGTTTATATTGCTTTCGTTGTGATGGCCACAAACTAGTTTTTCTTTTCCATTTTTTTTTTTTCAACTCAATTTTTTGCATCACATAGTATACGTACACTGTTTCCTAAAGTAAAGCGTATCTTTGAAAATATAATTTCTTTCCAAGCAACTTAATAGCAAAAAACTCGAATGTTTCCATCTTACTTATGGTTACACTTTTGTCAAGTATATAGTACAGGCAGGTAGATATATATATAGATATCTAAGGTAATTAGAGAAACACACGCTGCAGCATATGAGTGCTCATGTACCTGTACAGTGGCACATTTTATTAGCGGGTAGATAAGTCGATCGAAAACAAGCGTATGTACAGCTTAAGTACAAATAATAGACTGGCTCTCCTTTTGTATATTTCATCTGGTGTACAAAAGTGCACACGCGCTTTTTCTCTCTTCCACGCCGAGAGCCTCTTATCGTTCCATCTCGCTTGATTATGTCGTTCTCAGAGGAGACAGTGCTAGTATATACCTATACGCACAAACGTGCTTTTTATTGAGACCTTTTTTTTTTTTTAAGCTCACTTACTGTACAGAGACAGATGAGATTCCGGGATGCATCACTTTGGCCTCTCTCTCTTGACTTTTTTTTTTTTCCTTGAAATTTTATCTGATCTTGCCGCCTCCATTGTTTTGATTGTTTGTTTTTTTTTTTCTTACCACCAAGTGCCCCCCCCCCCCCCCGTTGGACTTTCTCCTTTTGCGATCGGGAGAAGATCGATCACCAACGGGATGTAGTTGTTTGTTATTTTCGCCAGAGCCGATTTATGGGTGTATCGTTTTACAAGCAACGAAACGAGGAGGAGCCGATGCATACATACATACTTTTAAATTCAATCTTATATCGGCACTTTTGTTTTATTTTTTGGCACATACATGTAATTTGGAAGGTTCTTTTTTTCAATTTATAACTATTTCTTCTCAACTTCCCTTTTTTTTTTTAAATCGGTAAGTTATAACATGGATACTATTTAAATCTTAAACTTTTCAGATAAAGTGTGTAATTAATACATTACACAAGTACGTATATACACCAGAAGCACGAAAGTGTATGATTATGTGTGTAAAGTAGCACCGTAATAATAAATCGTTTTAATCGCTTCTTTGTCTGCTTGGAAGTGTATAATTATACAGACAGACAATGACGAGTACAGAGCGCCGATAATAATTGGCCGTACGTACATATATATACACGATGCACGTTTCTATGCGTCGCAATTTCATACGTAGTAAAATACAGAGGCGAAAACTCTTAGTTTACCTGAATGTATGTGTATTACAATATCTCAGGCGGCAACCCCCGGTAATTTATGATATCGTCGTAATTGCTTCGTTTACATTTTTTTCCAAGTTTTGCCAAGAAGGAAAACACAAAAAGAAAAGAAAAAAAAAAATGCGAACGTGCGAATGTGATTATTCTCTCGATGGTGGAGAAAGTCTTTCTCTTAATGCCAACATCACCTGCTTTAGCGTATACACATATATACATATATATACCGTGCAGTATATACGTGCTCGCGCGCGGCGGCGTTTTCAGAGCAATTAAACGATAAATCTCATCTGGTGCAAAAACTACACTGACACCCATACATAAATTGCACCTACATTATGATACACACGTGTACAGGTGCTTCTTGAATTTCCCTTGAATCCAAAAAGAGTTTTCGGCATAATTGCATTGACCGTGATGCAGCAAAACTACAAGTAGTTACAATACACCTACGCGCGCACAATCGACCTAAAATGAAAAAATGGGAAAAATCGTATGTTTACACGCGACTCCAAAAGCCAAGTTGTCGATAAATTACAGTTTTCCAAGTGCACCTATACTTGTATCACCTCCTGTACTCATGTTCGAACTCGAGAAAAGAATTGACGAGTTGTTTGTTTGTTCTCGTGGTCATCCATCAGGGCGATTACATATGGATCGAACCCATATCCAGCAAGGAATTCGACGTGGCCATCGGGGCTCGTGTCATATCGGCCGAGGGCAGGCGAATCCAAGTAAAAGACGACGACAACAAGGTAACTTTTTTATTTTTTCCCTCTCGGGTAATATACATACACATGCGTATGTAGGTATAAAATGGTCAACCCCCGCTTACAAGCACTTACTTATCATCGGAAACGATAATCTTAGGAGCAATGGCTGTCGCCGGAGCGTCGGATAAAGGCGATGCACGCGACCTCGGTACAGGGCGTCGAGGACATGATAAGCCTTGGCGACCTCCATGAGGCCGGTATCCTGAGGAACCTGCTCATACGGTACAACGAGAACCTCATCTACGTAAGGCCCCACCTCTATCGTCTTTCCAATACAATCAATCGGATTTTTCTTTGAAATGAAAACATATATATATATATACACCGATGTACAACTTCCTCTCGCAGACGTACACGGGCTCGATCCTCGTGGCCGTCAATCCCTACCAGATCCTGCCGATCTACACGGCCGAGCAGATAAAACTGTACAAGGATCGAAAAATCGGCGAGCTGCCGCCCCACATATTCGCGATCGGCGACAACGCCTACACCCACATGAAACGCTACAAGCAGGATCAGTGCATCGTCATAAGGTATAAATACATATATACGTGTACATGCGAGCTTTGTTTTGGTTGTTATATCGTTACGTGGTTCGAGTTGATAATCAATTTTGTTTCTACCCGTCGCTCTGCCACGCATTTCTTTATTGCATCACTGGTGCGCGTGTGTACTGATGATTCAGAGAATAATTCGCTGACGTTTAATTTTTTTTTTGCTTTTTTTTTTTTTTTCAATCCAAAAAACGAATGTATCGGTTTCAGCGGCGAAAGCGGTGCTGGGAAGACGGAGAGCACCAAGCTGATACTGCAGTACTTGGCGGCCATCAGCGGGAAGCACTCGTGGATCGAGCAGCAAATCCTTGAGGCCAATCCCATCCTCGAAGGTACACACCGCCCCTCTTTGTGAAAATAGACCCGCACGTGTTATAAACACCCTCATCCCCTCGATTTCAGCGTTCGGTAACGCGAAAACGGTGCGCAACGACAATTCGTCGAGGTTCGGCAAGTACATCGACATCCTATTCAGCGACAAGGGAGTTATCGAGGGGGCCAAGATCGAGCAGTACCTGTTGGAAAAGTCACGGATCGTTTCCCAGAGTCTCGACGAGCGGAACTACCATATTTTCTACTGCATGCTCGCCGGCCTGTCCAAGGACGAGAGGCAAAAACTCGAGCTGGAGGAAGCATCGACTTACAAATACTTAACGGGCGTAAGTTTTTTCTTTTTTTACAATGAAAGCTGATTATTTTTCTTCCGTATAAATTATATTTTTTTTTTTCTCTCATATCGTGCAACGCTTGCGTTAAAAAGGGAGGTAGCATAACTTGCGAAGGCCGCGACGACGCAGCCGAGTTCGCCGACATAAGATCGGCTATGAAAGTCCTGCTGTTCTCCGACAGCGAGATATGGGAGATATTAAAGTTACTCGGGGCAGTGCTGCACATGGGAAACGTTAAGTACAAGGCCACGGTGATCGGTAAGTACAGCTCGTAAATACGCATTAACACATCGATCGGTTCGCATGATATTTGTGCCCTCGACTATACCGTATACCAACTGTTTGGTCGTATCCGCAGACAATCTCGACGCAACGGAGATACCCGAGCAGACAAATGTGAAGAAGGTGTCGCAGCTGATCGGCGTGCCGGTGCAGTCGCTCGTCGACGCCCTGACGCGCCGTACGATATTCGCGAGCGGCGAGACCGTCGTGTCGTTGCTGTCGCGGGACCAATCGGTCGACATAAGGGACGCCTTCGTCAAAGGGATCTACGGCCGGCTGTTCGTCCACATAGTCAAGAAGATCAACGAGGCCATAAACAAGCCGCGAAACACGTCGCGCAGCTCCATAGGGGTCCTCGACATCTTTGGCTTCGAGAACTTTGATCACAACAGCTTCGAGCAGTTCTGCATAAACTACGCCAACGAGAACCTCCAGCAGTTCTTCGTCCAGCACATATTCAAGCTCGAGCAAGAGGAGTACAACGTCGAGGGCATCAACTGGCAGCACATCGAGTTTGTCGACAACCAGGACGCCCTAGATCTGATAGCGGTCAAGCAGCTCAATATAATGGCCCTTATAGACGAGGAGTCCAAGTTTCCCAAGGGCACCGATCAGACGATGCTCGCCAAGATTCACAAGACCCACGGGTCGCATCGCAATTACCTCAAGCCCAAGTCGGACATCAACACCTCGTTCGGCTTGAATCACTTTGCCGGGGTCGTGTTCTACGACACGAGGACCTTCCTCGAAAAGAACCGAGACACCTTCAGCGCCGATCTCCTCCAGCTCATACACATATCGACCAACAAGTTTTTGCAGTCCTGTTTCGCCGAGGACATCGGCATGGGATCGGAAACGCGGAAACGGGCGCCGACGCTGTCGACTCAGTTCAAAAAGTCACTGGACTCGCTGATGAAGACCCTCTGCAACTGCCAGCCGTTTTTCATCAGGTGCATCAAGCCGAACGAGTACAAAAAGCCGATGGTGAGTTTCTTTTACTTGTTCTCCCCTCTGTCGCGATCGAAGCTGGGTTTTGGCACGTTGAATTGGTTTCAGATGTTCGACAGAGCGCTGTGCTGCCGGCAGCTGAGGTACTCGGGAATGATGGAGACCATCAGGATACGGAGAGCGGGATACCCGATCCGTCACTCCTTTACCGCCTTCGTGGAACGATACCGATTCCTCATATCCGGCATACCACCGGTGAAACTATTGGTAAAAATATATCACAACAACTTGAGTTTTATTATTTTTTTTTCAGTGATTCGGCACAAACAATAATGATAACAATAATGAACAGAAGGACCAGTGTCGCATGGCGACGATGAAGATCTGCCGGGCGGTCCTTGGCCAGTCGGACTACCAGCTCGGCCACACGAAGGTCTTCCTCAAAGACGCCCACGATCTGTTCCTGGAGCAGGAGCGCGATCGCGTGCTGACCCGTAAGATCCTCATCCTGCAGAAAACGATCCGCGGTTGGGTGTACCGGCGTCGGTTCCTCCGCATGCGAGCAGCCGCCGTAAAGATCCAAAAGTATTGGCGCGGGTACGCGCAGCGCCGGCGGTACAAGCGCATGAGGGTCGGTTACATGCGGCTGCAGGCGCTGATAAGGTCGCGAGTGCTGTCGCACAGGTTCCGGCATCTCAGGGGCCACATAGTGGCGCTGCAGGCGAGAGCACGGGGCCACTTGGTCAGGCGGGCGTATAGGAAAAAGATGTGGGCGATCGTCAAGATACAGGCCCACGTGAGGCGAATGATTGCGCAACGCAGGTACAAGAAGCTCAAGTACGAGTACAGGTTGCACATAGAGGCGCTCAAGTTTCGGAAGAAGGAGGAGCGGGAGCTCAAGGACCAGGGCAACAAGAGGGCCAAGGAGATTGCCGATCAGCACTTTAGGGTATTTTTTTTTTTTTTTTTTTTTTTTTTTTTTTTTTTTTTTTTTTTTTTCACTTGTCATCTCGTCGTCGGTTGTATTGTTTTTTCTTTTCACGTATATAAAATCGCACAGGAAAGGATGCAAGAGTTGGAGAGGAAAGAAATCGAAATGGAGCTGGAGGATAGGCGTAGGATGGAAATAAAGAAAAACCTGATAAACGACGCGGCGAAGAAGCAAGACGAGCCCGTGGACGACAGCAAACTCGTCGAAGCTATGTTCGATTTCTTGCCGGACTCGAGCAGCGAGGCGCCCACGCCTGCCCGAGAGACATCAGTATTCAACGTACGTGTAGCTTTATGTACTTTTTTTTTTCCTTTTTCTTTTTTTGGATGTATACTTTAATTTTCTCGACCACCCCGTCCACAGGATCTGCCCGCGCCAAAGGCCGACCAACAGGAGATCATCAGCCCGATGCAGACGGCGTCCGAGGACGAGGAGGACCTGTCCGAGTTCAAGTTCCAAAAGTTCGCAGCCACGTACTTCCAGGGCAACATAACGCACCAGTACTCGAGGAAGCCGCTGAAGCACCCGCTGCTGCCTCTGCACACGCAGGGCGACCAATTGGCCGCGCAGGCCCTGTGGGTCACGATTTTGCGGTTCACGGGGGACCTTCCCGAGCCGAGATTCCACACGATGGAGCGCGACAACACGTCGGTCATGTCCAAGGTGACGGCCACCCTCGGTCGAAACTTCATCAGAAGCAAGGAGTTCCAGGAGGCACAGCTCATGGGCTTGGATCACGTGAGTGCACACTCACACACACACATATACATATATTATACATATAGTTCCATACTCGATGAGGGAGATCGGTTGCGCATTAACGTACGGGTGAAATTCAGGAGTCCTTCCTCAAGCAAAAGCCAAGGTCCATCCGGCACAAGCTGGTCTCCTTGACCCTCAAGCGGAAAAACAAGCTCGGCGACGACGTGCGCCGGCGGCTGCAGGAGGACGAGTACACGGCCGACAGTTACCAGTCGTGGCTCGAGTCCCGGCCTACCTCGAACCTCGAGAAGCTGCACTTCATCATCGGCCACGGTATCCTACGGGCCGAGCTCCGCGACGAGATCTACTGCCAGATTTGCAAACAACTGACCAACAATCCCTCGAAATCGTCTCACGCCCGCGGCTGGATACTCCTGTCGCTGTGCGTGGGCTGCTTCGCCCCTTCCGAGAAGTTCGTCAACTACCTGCGGGCCTTTATACGCGAGGGCCCTCCCGGCTACGCGCCCTACTGCGAGGACCGGCTCAAGCGGACTTTCAACAACGGGACTCGCAACCAGCCGCCGAGTTGGCTCGAGCTCCAGGCCACCAAGTCCAAGAAGCCGATAATGCTGCCCATCACCTTCATGGACGGCAACACCAAGACCCTACTCGCTGACTCGGCCACGACTGCCCGGGAGCTCTGCAACCAACTCTCGGACAAAATCAACCTGCGCGATCAGTTTGGCTTCTCGCTGTACATCGCGCTCTTCGACAAGGTCTCGTCCCTGGGTAGCGGTGGGGACCACGTGATGGACGCGATATCCCAGTGCGAGCAGTACGCCAAGGAACAGGGTGCCCAGGAGAGGAACGCCCCGTGGCGGCTGTTCTTTCGCAAGGAGATATTCGCCCCGTGGCACGAGCCGACCGAGGACCAGGTGGCGACCAACTTGATATACCAGCAGGTGGTGCGGGGCGTCAAGTTCGGCGAGTACCGGTGCGACAAGGAGGAGGACCTGGCGATGATCGCCGCCCAGCAGTACTACATCGAGTACGGCGCCGACATGAGCATCGAGAGGCTCTTCACTCTGCTGCCGAACTACATACCCGACTACTGTCTCGCCGACGTAGACAAGGCCATCGAGCGCTGGGGACACCTAGTTTTGCAAGCTTACAAAAAGGTACACGTACACACATATACACCTTTAACTATGATCTTGATTTGTTTGTTTTTTTTTTTTTTTTTTTTTTTTTTTTTTAATTTTGCTTCAATCGACTTTTTTCAGAGCTACTACCTGAAAGAAAAAGTGCCTGCCCTGCGAGTCAAGGAGGACATCGTCGGCTACGCAAAGTTCAAGTGGCCGCTGCTGTTTTCCCGCTTCTACGAGGCGTACCGGAATTCAGGGCCAAATCTTCCGAAGAACGACGTTATAATAGCCGTCAACTGGACGGGCGTTTACGTCGTCGACGACCAGGAGCAGGTCCTGCTGGAGCTCTCCTTTCCCGAAATCACCACCGTATCTAGTCAAAAGTAGTTGGCTCTTGCTGTTTTTATTCCCAAATAAAAAAAAAAAAAAAATTAATAAATAATAGGACGTACTGACAACACATTTTTTCAGAACAAACAAAATGTTCACGCAAACGTTCAGCCTGTCGACGGTCCGAGGCGAGGAGTTTACGTTCCAGAGCCCGAGCGCCGAGGACATTCGCGACCTGGTCGTGTACTTCCTCGAGGGCCTGAAGAAGCGCAGCAGGCACTGCATCGCCCTGCAGGACTACAAGGGCTCGGTCGACAATCCCTCCTTCCTCGTCTTTCAAAAGGGCGACCTCATAACTTTGGACGACGACGCCGGCGACGAGAGCTACAATCCCGGCTGGTGCGTCGGTCTCTGCGAGAGGACCGGCGAGAAGGGCGACTTTCAGGCCGAGATGGTCTACGTCCTGCCGACGCTGACGAAGCCACCTAACGACATTTTGGTGGGTTCCTTTTTATCCTTCGATTCGCACGATACATAGCTTTGGCCGTTTCGTGTGACTGGTTGGTTTTTGTGGGTGTTTTTAGTCGATGTTTGGCGTGAACGGCAGCGACAACGGCCGAAGGCTCTACCCCCAACAGCTGAACGGCATCGAAACCCGGGACAAGCCGCACACCCTCATGGATTACGCCATCGACCATTTCCGGTGGGTGTCATTTGTGTTTTTGTTTTCATCGAGTAATGTAATTCAACCCCAAGTAAAAATCCGAATCGATGGTTGTTGGACAGGCCGCCGCCGAAGAAGACGATGTCGAAGGCGTTGACGCTGAGCGCGTCGCGCCGAGGCCACCCGGACGAGCTGTGGCGGCACTCGCGGGAGCCCCTGAAGCTGCCCCTGTTGCGAAAACTCGCGTCGAAGGACGAGCTGGCGGACGAGGCGTGCTTCGTCTTCAACGCGATTCTCAAGTACATGGGCGACCTGCCGACCAAGAGGCCAAGGATCGGCAACGAGTACACGGACATCATATTCGACGGGCCCCTGAAGAACGAGATCCTCAGGGACGAGATCTACTGCCAGATCATGAAGCAGCTCACGGACAACAGGAACCGGCTGAGCGAGGAGCGCGGCTGGGAGCTCATGTGGCTGGCGACGGGACTGTTTCCGTGCAGCCAGAGCCTCTTGAAGGTACATATCACTTTGTGATCAAAGTGTAATGTTATACTTTTTGGTCTTTCCCGTGAAACACGTTTGTTTGTTTGTTTTTGCTAGGAATTGACGTTGTTCTTGCGCACGCGTCGGCACCGCATATCACAGGACTCCCTGCAGAGGCTGCAAAAGACCTTGAAGAACGGCTCGCGCAAGTACCCGCCTCACCAGGTGGAAGTCGAGGCGATTCAGCACAAGACCACGCAGATCTTCCACAAGGTTTACTTCCCGGACGACACCGACGAGGCGTTCGAGGTCGACTCGTCGACGAGGGCCAAGGACTTTTGCCAGAACATCGCCCAACGCTTGAGCCTACGCTCCTCCGAGGGATTCAGCTTGTTCGTCAAGATTGCGGATAAAGTCATTTCCGTGCCCGAGGGCGACTTTTTCTTCGACTTTGTGCGCCACTTGACCGACTGGATGAGAAAGGCTCATCCCACCAGAGACGGTTCGTTTGAGAGGGGGAGCAACGATTCATTATTTATCGTCGTCGCATCATTTTGTTGACTTATTCGCAAACGTTCTAGGCTTGTCCCCGCAGTTCACGTACCAAGTGTTCTTTATGAAGAAATTGTGGACAAACACGGTGCCCGGCAAAGATCGGAATGCCGATTTGATATTCCACTTCCACCAGGAGCTACCGAAACTACTGAGAGGTAAAGTAAACGTAGATTTAATTTTTGCGCTTTATTATATTTTTCACGAGTGCCAAGAAAGTGTTTGATGAGGGGAAAAAAAAAAAAAAAAAAAATGATATGTTGTAAATCAGGGTACCACAAGTGCACGAAGGAAGAGGCGGCCAAGTTGGCGGCGCTCGTCTACAGGGTTAGATTCGGGGAGAGTAAACAAGAACTTCAAGCGATACCGTGAGCAGGAATATTTCGATTTCTTTTTTTTTTTTTTTAATTTGCAATCTATACCTTTGAAGTAATCATTTTCACTGTTTCGTTTTGCGTTTCAGCCAAATGTTGAGAGAACTCATACCTGGCGATCTCGTGAAAACGCAGAGTTCGAACGAGTGGAAGCGCGCCATCATCGCCGCGTACAATCAGGACGCCGGTAAATAATTTCCTCCCATACGACGCATGTGAGTAGGCATTTTTGGTGAACGTATAACGTCAAATTCGGGTTGCAGGCATGAGTCCGGAGGATGCTAAAGTCACGTTCTTGAAAATCGTGTACCGATGGCCCACGTTCGGGTCTGCATTTTTCGAGGTCAAGCAGAGCACCGAGCCAGACTATCCTGAGTTACTGCTCATCGCTATCAACAAGCACGGGGTCAGCTTGATTCATCCGCAAACGAAGGTAAGTGCCATTTTGATTGGACGGTGTAAAAAAAGTAACGGCGTTTTCGATGGAGTGTAAAATGTGTATTTTCTTGACAGGATATACTGGTGACGCATCCGTTTACGAGAATTTCAAATTGGTCTTCCGGCAACACGTACTTCCACATGACGATCGGTAACCTGGTGCGAGGCTCCAAATTGCTGTGCGAAACGTCGCTCGGGTACAAAATGGACGACCTTTTGACGTCTTACATCTCGCTCATGCTCACGAATATGAACAAGCAGCGCACGATACGAATGAAATGAGAGAGTTGCGAGTTTCTTATCGTAAAAATATCAAATGTTTTTGCGAATTTTACTTTTTTTCGTTATCCCGCGAAGAAGTTAAGCGTTCCAAGCTGATTGAAAATCATTGTTTCAACGACAAATTTTTTCATTATTTAAAACATAAAACAATTGAGACGAGAGAATAATGATCTTGACTTTTGCAAGTGTAAAATATTTAACGTAAAAGTCTGGCAATGTATTTGCACACCAAGAAAAGTCGTGTCAAGTTGTGTAACAAAGAAGTTAATATTAATAATAAATCGTACTTAACTTGTTGAATAAAGTTGTAAAAAAAGTGTTATATCTGTTGTAGTAGAATACTAATTGTACTTGATAAAACATTAACAAAAAAAAAACAGATTTTTTTTTTTTCAAAGAATCACTTATCCAATAAAATGTAAATAAAAAGGCAATAAAGGAAGTAATAAAAGTGAGTATCGATATTTTGTGACATCTGTTTGAAGCGATGTAATACGAAGTGCGTTTATCTGACAAGCTGCAAAAAAAAAAAAAAAAAAAAAAATGATTGGTAGTGTTCATTAAAACAACAAAGCCACCAACAACAACAGAGAATAGTGCTCGGAAACCATGTGGGTACCGTACAAGGGATGTAATTACAGTGTTATTAATTTAGGATTGCGCAGGCAGAAGAGTGTCGAGGAAATAATAAAAGTAACCCCGTTGGCGGCTTTCGTACACGCATGTACAATGTAGGTATACGCGAAGAGATATCGCGACGTTTTAACTGTGGGTAAATTCCCACCGACATTCCTGGCTAACAATAGATGTCTTGAAGGAAGGCATTCTTACGTTGATGCTATCTCATTTCCCTTTGGAGATTACTCCGTTTGATTGCTTTTTTTTGTCAAGCGCGTACATACCTGTACGCACAACTGGATGATCCCGCTTCTTGGCTTGCGTGCTGGGCTACTCTTCGTAATTAAGTTGAAAATGTATACGAATAATGCATCGGAAAGCTTTCTCTCGTGAGCTCGAAATTTTTTCCCACAAAAAAAAAAAAAAAAAAAAAAATCAACCGATGCGTGAGAGAGTTTTAAATTTGCAGAATCACAACTGTATCACAACACTTGAGGATTACCATTTTACTACTCCCATACGTTTTTGTCAACATTGGCGAGGAATGATGTGGGTTTATGCAGAAGTAACTTTTCATTTGAATGTAGATTTATTATACGAGATTACCAATTTTTAAAATTTATAAAATATATATATTTTTTTTTTTTGGAATAACTCTTGTCGGAATAAAAGCTCTATCACTGCTGACACACATACATTTTTTCTTTCGTCAATAAATCCTATTTATACATTCTCTTCGAATTTTGAAGCTTTTAAAATGATATTTGGCAAAATATTTTCCACTTTCGAGGTGTTTTACCAAACAATGTATCACAAGTACACAGTTGGCAAAAAGTAAAAAATTACTTGTCACTCAAATTTGCACGCAAATATTAAAACTATGTCAAAAAATGTTTTACGTATACTACGTACTACTTTATACTATTACTTAATTAATTTGCATCCTTGAAAAAACCCTTTGCCATAGTTGCACAAAACTTTGAATTTTTGGGCTTTTGTAATTCTATATAGTGGCTTGGTGCATCACAGTACGTAGTAACCGTAATAGTAGTGCGCAATTGACAGCATTTATATTACATTATACGCTTACTTTTATATACAACTATTAAAAAAAAAAAAAAAAAAAAAAAAAATCGATAACAGTCATTGCCCGTTTTTCGAACAAATTACGACACATTTCGTTTTAAGTGACTTTTACAAGTGATACTTATTACTTGTGTGTTTATTGACTGAAACTTTACGTTAAACGCACGTTTTTAAGCTTCCTTCTACCATAGATATAGTACAATCGAATTTCATTTAAAATTTCACATTTATATGCTTTTGATATAAATATATTTTTTTGACACTTTTAAGATACTTATTTTGAATAGGCCTTTCTTTTCACAAAGTGCATACATAAATATAAGTATTAACGCGAAGCAGAAAAAAATTTGTAAGAAAAATTTAACTGCGACTATTTTACTAACTTGTCCAGCCAATTTTTTAATCATTAAAAAACCAATACCGACAAAAAGTGTCATCCTATAGTCATCTCACAGAGAGGATAAAGTATACTTTCCGCAATTATGTTTCGATAAATTTTTATCAACAATTAAAGACATCTAAATCTTTTTTATACAGCGATAATGCATTGCATTACACCATCACACGTGAGTTCATTTTTTTTAAATTATTTATTAATGTTATACACCTCCTGTCACTCTATTGCTAAAAGTTGTCCCAGTAAGTTTGACTTTTTTTAAATTCGATGTAAAGTCGTTGTATAGTTTCAATAAAATATGCGATTCAATAAGTTAGAAATCGAGACATAGTTATATAACTTTAGTAATTGTTCTTTATTACAAAATATTTTTAAAAAAATTTTCAGATAGCGTATGTACACCTAATTATACAGGACTCGAGATTTTTATTAAAAATATATATTTCAAATTGTCATGTGTTATAAAAGTCTCTTAAAAAATTATATATAATGACTTAATTGAATAGTTTGTTCATTTACAATGATAAATCTTTGAACATTGAAACTTCTCTATACAATTGAGAATACAACAAAAAACGAAAATTGCAAGGTATATATAATATATATACTATAGAAAAATACACTTATACGTAAACGCGTACGTAGAGAAAAAAAAAAAAAAAAAAAAAAAATTCGAATAAATAAATTATAAAAACAACTATGTGCACAATGTTTTGTTTTTGTTCTTAATTTCAAGTCTTTGATTACCCTAAGAGAGTCAAGAGATTTACTTTCAAAGTCTTAACTACTGCACCTGGAACGATTCCCTCGTCGAGCACGTTTCCTTTGCAAGACAAGGTGATGAATCGGTGTGTTCGTCAACCGATGGACATTGCTCCAGCCCCTGCGAATCGCCAATAACGACTTGGTCATGTTGCACGTTGCCACCGTCGCCTCCATCGAAAGTTTCCCAGTCACCGTTCGGGCTGTATCAGAGACCCGGCTGGGGCGGCTGGTGGTGATTCCAGGGCACATCCGCGATCGCCGGCTGTTGCATGGCTGGCTGCTGGTGGCCCATAGGTCTCGGCACCCTCATCACCTCAGCAGCGGGTACGCAATGTTGCCTGGGCCCGGGCTCGGGCGTGTACGTGAACGTCAGACCCGTGGCGTAGATGATGCCATCGTTTCGCACCAGTGAAACGGGCACCTGCGTCGGCTGATGAATCCAGAGCCACTCGCCCCGGAATTGCGAGATGTCGGGTACAACGCACAGCATACTCTCTTGACACCTGTACATCGACTCGGCCTCGACATCGCCAAACCACACCTGGAGATTCGGCGTGAAGTTGTCACCCGTGAGCTCGAGCATGGCCACGTCTCCACCGCCGTTGAGATTAAGACTGTGCACCAGAGGTACGGGAGTCACCGGGGTGCGCACGGGACCCATACCCTCGAAGAACGTGTACTCGGCCCGATCGGTGCTGATGATCGTCCAACACGCGCCGTCGTTGATCATCTCTTTGTTGGCCTCCTTGGGACAGGGCGTCGCCTGAAACTGGATGATCCGCTCTTGCGACAGGCACAAGTACATGTGGTCCGTGTCCTTCATGTAGAAGGCGCACTTGTGCAGCTGCGAGACCGGATCGTCGGCTTCGAGGCTAGCCATCTGTTTGTCGACCTTGCGAATGACGAGCCGAGGCAGGGCCATCCCCGTCTCGGAACAGACGAGCTTCACCGTACTGCCGTAGTGTACGTAGCCGTCGCGCACTTGAAACTCCTCGGACTCGCTCTCGTTGTCGTCAAGCAGGTGGATTGTGAAGGCACCCCACTGTGTCGAGCTCGCGTGGAAGTTGTTGTTGTCAACGTGGAGGTAGCGCGTGCTCACGGTCTGCGAGCGCAGCCGGTTAAAGAGGGCGACCCGCGTGCCCGAGGCTATGCAAAGATCCGCGTTCTTGAGGCTCTGTTTCTTTTTGGAGGGTTTTGAGATCACTTTGATGCGTTTGCTGTGGAAGACACCGATGTCGTGGCCGTTGCCGTAAAACATTTTCACCGAGAGCATAAAGTGCTTGCGCTTGTCCGAGTCGGAGATATACAGGGTCTTGGCAGCGCAGTACTGCTTGCCGTTGTTCAGGTCGAGCTGCTGCATGTCCTGGTCGCTGTTGCCGATGCCGATAAAGGCGCACAGCTGACTGGACTGCTCGGTCTCGCCGTCCCGGCGCATTTGCTCCTGGCGCATCGACCATGCGTTGCCTTTGAGGTATATGCAAGGTGGTGGACAAAAGAAACGCTTCTCGTTGCCATAAGACTTTTGAGCGACCTTGGCGTGCAGGATTACGACGACCATGTCGGCTTTGCCCTGGGTGCGCTTGTGCTCGGACAGATAGTGTTTCATGGCCTCGCGCGTGAGCCGCTGTTCCTGTTGTTGTTGCTGTTGCTGCGAGTGTTCCGGTCGGTAGACGCTGCCAAACCGAGGATAAGCCGGCATCACGGCAGTCGGCGACGGCGGGGACTGCAGCCCGTGCGCCATCGTCGGCAAGCCGTATTGGCTGTGGGGCATTATTGCTGCTGGATCCAGCTCTACTACCTAAAGTTCCTTGGTCTGGGCATTTAAAGTCCTACTCCCATCGTAAGTTGGCTTATCATGCCGACAGCCGTTGCTCCTGCTTCTTGGGCTTTTATCTGAAATGAGGTAAATACAAGATTTTTAATCATTAGAACCTGTTGGAACTACCATACAAATAATTGAGATTGTATTTAAATGAATCAAAAGAAATTAAAATTGATTTAATTATGATTCAAATTCTTTCATGAGTGAAACAGTTATGAATTTTGTATTTTGTTGGTAACTTATCGGATAAGAAGCAACTAGAAACAGTTATTCCTTGGAAAATTTGCATTTTCCAACAAAAACACTAGCTAGGCAGTTTCTAATGCAGCAAGTGCCTCCAAAGTGCGTGGGAAGTCTTTTTATTATTTGCAACCACACAATTAGCCCAAGATATCTCGCTTTTAATGAGTGGCTGAGAATTACTGGCTCTTCGTACACATGTACACACAAATACTTTGCACACAGGAAAGAGGAAACACGTTTTAAGCCGTGGGAACAGAGACAATCTCATTTTTCTTGCATGAATTAAGAGTACTGTTGTCTCCATACAGGTTCAAGAGGATTTCTAGTGAAAAATAAAAATAAAAAAAAAAAAAAACGAAAAAAGAAAGGCTGTATTTCATTACCAGAAATCTAATATTTCCCTCTACGTTTCGTCCACAAAAAGTAAAAACATCCAACAGAAATACACTTGCACTTTCATTCTGTCCAAAAGAATACTCAATTGGCTATGCTAGGTCGTAGAATGACTTTGCATTGTTAGTATAGTCAGCAAAGACCGATAAAGCATGCTCATTTTCAATGCATTAAGTAGAGACATACGTTTGGTCTGCTGAATTAAAGAGACATGCCAGTGTTGTTAAAAGTTCAGTCTAGAGTGCATATTCATGAAATTAGGTGTACTGAACAATAGAAAGCAATCTATATATTACATAGGGCACATTAGACCACAGCCAAGTTATACACTTTCATGAGACTGAGTTTGTTACTCTATTTGGAATTTAAAATTAAGCAGCCTCAAGAAACCAAAGGTCTACCAAATTAAATAAGTGCACTCTTGGAAATCAACGAGTATCATACATTCAAGCAGCATCTTTCCATTGAGAACTTTTGAAAAATCTACTGGTGCTCCAAAATATTGCTTCTTTTTTTTCTATTGTACACTCCATATAACATCATCATCACCAGAAAGGTCGAGCCTTTACACGCCCTTTTTCTTTTACCTTATCTCAAAGAAAAGAGCAAAAAAATAAATGGGAAATCACCTCATCCTCGTATGAAGTGCACCGTAAATAGCAGCATTTACGCGCGTCATCGTCACGATCATCGTCGTCAGGATATCACCGTATATCGTTCACCACCACCATACATCACACACGTCCACCACGCGAGAGGTTAAGGTCCATGGCACACATCACATACAAATAAACAAGCTAGTGCTCGGCCGCACTTGGAGGTACTTTTACGGTGCATTTAAAATTAATACAAAAGGCACTGCAGCTGTACCCCGAGGAAATAAAACAATTGCGTGGGCTCTCGTATCCGCAACAGCATGGAAAGCATCAATAAGAAACTGCAGATGAGATGAGGCCTCTCGGACTATCGAGAGCCGCGTATTATAGCCAGGAGCAGAAGGACGGAAGGACGACGCGCGGCAGAAAAGGAGAGCAAAAAAACCGGCATTTCTCGGACAACACACTGCACTCTCTGCCGTGTGCACACGATGATACGATACGATACGCGGTATATATACCTACATATAAGTAATATAGCTACATTTTCGTATACATTATAAAAGATAGTTACGCTCGGTAAGTACCTACTTATCCTACACTTATTTTTACGCGCCGATCTTTCATCCCTCCGAACGATATATACTTAGCGGGGGGTGCCCCGTGAATATACCGTCACGTCAAACACACAGTCGGAAGTGATGAGAGAAAAGTGGAAAAATAATTATAATATTATATAGTAAGTACTGAAAACCCGAGTTAAGGGCAATATAAAGCATATAGACAAATATATATTGTTATTACCTAACAGCAGCTGCAGTTATAATATACTCGGTAACGATCGACGATCGAGTTAGTCGTTGCGTCTGCTAGCCGATGATGGGCCGAGCGACTCGAACTCGCGGTCGTCCGCTTCCCCATCGTCAATTAACTTGACAATCAATCACCATGAACATTGATCCTATATACCCTAAAGCAATCGCGTGCTCGCACCCATCATCAGATTTTCAGATCCACCTCGTTGCACGTTACGCACATTACACGTATTATATATTTATGTTATCTCGATGAATTATTTTTTTATTCGCATGTGGCTGTGCGGCACCATGGATTAATCAAAGTTTGTTCAACACGCGCGAGTGTATATAAGTAGTACAGTGGTATGGTGGGCTTTGACTTTTCGGTCGCCAAGTCCAACGACCTTCCTGCGATACTGCTCGTGGAGCTACTGCCCGTCCCGTCCGTCAGTAGTACAAACTCCCGCGATACGATATTATTATGCTGCTTCTGCAGAGAGCAGCGTTTCTGGACGACGACGGGATGGTGGGGGAGAGAACCAGAGGTAGAGTTGTTGCACTGCCGATCCGCATCAGAGAAACCGAGAAAGAGAGAGAGAGAGAAACGCTGCCGTGCCGATCCAGGGAGAGAAAAAGCTCTTTAACTTCTCCTCCGCTCCTTTTCCCTTTCAGTGCTCTCTTTATCCCTTCCCTTTCTTTCACGCCATGATTGCCCTTCAAAACGTGTTGATATTTTGGCATCGTATCAGCATAATCTCTCGTGTGCCGATCGCGATCGCCGATTTAAGTACGGGGGATTCGAAGAGCACCGGTTTTTGCGGCTTTTCGACTTTTCCGCCCAATACATGTAGAAGCGCAAAGCGTCGGGGGCAAACTGGTGGGGCGCGAAGTTTGAATCCACGCGCTTTGTCAAAGGTTCCCGATCGGCTAGATCGGCAAGGGTTTTTTTGCGATCAAAAACGCCGATGTGACCATGCAGTGACTACTTGAGAAGTGCGCACGCGCACGTGTAACGAAAACAAAAACAGTGTGTTCGGGCGCGTGCAAAACAAAATGCATCGGCGATCGGGCCGATTTCACACACTCGAGGAGACGACCTTCGATTGTGCGTCAATCAGGCGGTGAAAAGCTCGCGCCCGTGAGAGTATCTCCCGCGTGATTTATCACTTACTACACGGGGCACCAAACCTACGGTGATACAAACAAACGATCTCGTCGACGGCGATAAAAGGAGTATCGGTACTATCTGTCGGAGACGCGCCGCCGAACTGAACATAGAAGCGCGTCTGGCAGAAAGTGTATTTTGATGCATGTATAGGGTAAGCCTATACATACAATTTATCGGAGTCCCCGCAGCTTAGCGCGCGCGAGAGAGAAGTGTATAATCATGTTGTACAGCTAGACTGCATTCTCTCTTTCTCTCTCTTTCGGCTGTGGAAAGAGAGAGAATAAGATGTGGATAGACAAGCGCGGGAGTGAAGGACGGATGAAGGGACCGAACGAATTGGGGACCGCTCGGCGGGGCTCGATGGCACTGAGCGTGTTTGTTTATGCAAATACATGCAGGATTGCAAAATAATAACGTTAGGGTGTTGGGGGGCGTCCATGGATTGTTGCTTGCACGGCAGTTTCTATTGTTTTATGTACACGCCAGAGAGAGAGAGGGGGAGCCAACTTCGGCAGCTTATGTATATATATTATATTTCTTTCGAACTTTTTGTTATCATTTACACGTACAGTTTACACCCATTGTTCAGGAATGGCCCAAAATGTCCCTCCCTTCTATTCTCTCTATAGGTCTTCCCTCACAGCGGGCATCACACTCTCCTTTTCCCTCTGGGTCCCCTGGTAGTGTGCCTTTTGGATTGCATACACACACGTGTATATATAGCTTATTTTATATACCTACTTTCTCTCTCTCTATACATACATACAAACAAACAATGTATATATACAGTTTATAGTCGCTGCTCCGAAACTCCAAAGTTGAGTCGAGTCCGTCCGTCGTTTGGTTCGGGCTGAACGGGGACTAGGTATGGGACTTTACACTTACTCGAAGTTATTTTAGTAGTAGTAGTAATAGTAATAGTATACTATATATATATAT